AATCAACAAAATCACCATTATTAAATCAATCCTACCATAAAATAACACCATAATCACAAATTCATTTTTCCTAAACAGAAGTTATGAGTTTTTAGCTCATATCTACAGCAAATAACAAACTAAAAACATAACCAAATGATTGAAACATGGTTTATGCAAAAGATTAAGATAAAAGTAATGTGTTATTGCCTTTGATCTTCTTCCAAATTGATATCTAGGTTGAAATCTCGAAAACCATAGCTTCTAAGAACCCTTCTGGCCTCCAAAAATTGTCCTAAACTTCCCCCATCCATTAGGGTTCGAATGAGAAGCGTTTCTATCTATATTTTATGAAAACAGGGGCTACTCGGCAAGTCTAGTGACCTACTCGGCGAGTCCATCACTTAAAATCCCGTGCACGGCAAGGTAAAGTCAAGAATCGCGAAACTTCTGACTAGCTCTCCGAGTTGATGGCCTACTCGGCAAGTACATTTGGAATCAGCATTTTTCAAAAAACTAAAGTCGTCTGAAATTGTGTCTAGTTTTTAGAACATTTTGAATCTCGTCAATCGGAGTTACGGTTCATGAGATATGTCCAAAACACTGACGAGGGGTCAAGCTGTCCAGCTACACTATTCTTTCTTCAAAATCCAAGATCCAAGCTTCCTATTGCTAGTTCCGCTTCCTTTTCCATCCAAGCATGTAAATGTTGCTAAAAAATGAAATTATAAACTAATTAAGAACCTTTTGTTCATTAAATGAGACAAAATCAACATAAAGTATTAAGATAATGCATGAATTTTATAACTAAATATGCCCATATCAAAATACCCCACACTTGACTTTTGCTTGCCGCCAAGCAAAACTGAATTTTAACACATTAGAATCACATAAGACAACTCCAATCGAACCCAACCATTACGCCAAGACCGCAACGCATGCAGTTGTGTCTAAAATTTTCCTAATAACCCCCATATTCCAAATACTCACAATCCTCATAAACATTCGCCCACTTTTTCCGAACAATGTTCATTTTATGCATCCATCCGAATCCATCCTCAGAAAACCTTTTAACCTCAAGGTATTTTTGGTTGAGCAACCCAAGCATACATAATCTAGACAATTACAATTTATGATACCACATTGGAGCTCTTCGGAATTCTTCACTTCTTTGACATTTAATCATTAATTTCTTTGAATTCACCACCTTGTTGTTTGATTTTTAGTATCTTCAACTTTTTGAATTTCTTCGGAATTTTCGATCTTCTAATTTCATACTTAACTTTGATGCTCCAAAAATTCTTCAAACTTTTCTTGTAATTCTCTCTTTTTTTTCACTCAAAACCCTACATGCTTAAGCAGGGGCGCTCAACTTCAACCTTTATTGGTTAGGGATAATAATTTTCCTGAATACATTTCTGGTACACGATGCTAAAAATATTGCATCCTTCAAACTAAGCGAGGTCGTGTTTTTGTCCCTTGATTTGACTGGAATAAGGAAGCCACAAATACACTAGAACGTATATAGGCTCAACTAAACATTTGGGTCTTCATGCAATCATCAAATATAATGCTAGCATGATCCCTAATTGCTTTACCAAAATTTTCTATATTAGCCCTAGCAATTTTATTGCAAAAATTTCAAAATTAACTAAAATTTCAATATTTTCGAAATTTTACTAGAATTTTAACTAATTTAACCAACCCCCTACCCCACACTTAATTTATGCAATGCCCCCATTGCATGTTACGCATCATTAAAAAAACATAAAAGGAAAGAGAGAATTAGAACAAACTCCCCTGGGATATTAGTTGCGAGGTTGAACTTCTTCATTTAAAGCTCCATCTTTAGGTGACTTTAGACATAGGAATAGCTCATCCATGCATTGGGTGTCATTCGTCTCGTGTGGTTGACAGCTCCAAAATATCGAGAAAAAAGCTTCTTGGAAATGCTCGGAAATGAACTTCAAAAATGTAGACAATGCCTATGTCGAATGGAATCAAATCGTCAATCTTGAAGGTAAGAGAAAGAGTAACTCGTCAAGTTAATAGTAAACTCGGCGAGTTGAATCGCTATACTTGCAGAAATCGTGATTTTTCGCTTGGACTCGTCGAGTTAGTATTATGCACTCGACGAGTTCTTGAATCTGATCAGGTCTTTTCTTCTTTCTGCCTAAACTTTAATTTTGTGTTCAAGGAGAGTATCGAGGTAATACTACTCCTCATTTTCTTCAGGTACGAGACTCTTTTTAATCAAATATAAACATCGGACTTAACATATCGCTCAAAGTCTTCTAATCTTCTCGTAAACGACTCGACCCCTCACTTTAATTCCCTCACACTTTAAGAATTCGCTCTAATATCACCCTAGCTTCTGAAAAGAACAAAGAAAAAACCACGTAATAAAAAAGAAAACAAACATCAAAATAAAAATTCCTATATTATCCCTAAATACTAGAAGTTTAAAAGAAAAATAAAAGCAAATTCTAATGACGCGTTGCCTCCCGCAAGCACTTCTTTTTGTGCGAGTCTTTAGCTGGACTCCCAACTTAATACACTTCTAATAAATTCGATTCCCATCCATCCATTGAATTAAATATTTTCTTTGGACCAATTTGTAAAATTTGGCTCGTTGCTTCAAAAATTGGCCAAACAAGCTTGAATTCATAAAACCCAAGAATCTTGACAAGGGTTGGAACCAGTTGGATACTAATCATAAATGGATCGTGCCCCAGAATTTTCTCCAAAGTTGGAGTCGTCACCCCACGCTTCAAAACACAAACCAGAAATACAGGGGACCATGTCGTGATAACAGTCAAACCACAACTTGGTTCCTCCAATTCATCTTGTTCTTGTTCTTCATCTGACCCTTCTGCCAGCAACCTTTCCAACTCCTCCAAATCTTTTTCTGGATTAAATTCTTCATCTTTTAAATCTAGCTCTTGTGACTCAGATTGTTCTTGTGTGTTGGGCAAGATGTTATCTAACCATCTATCAAATTTCTTCAAATCTTCATCCCATCCACACTCCTCATCTTCTTGCTCAATTTCCTATACTACTTCCTCAAGAAAAGCATCAAAAGCATCGAGATTTAGAAAATACATAATAAATAAAAATAAAAATAAACTAAATAAAAAAAATTAATCAACAAATAAAAAAAATAACAATTAGCAAATAAAATTAACTATTTAGAACCGTTCCCCGGAAACGGCACCAAAATACTTGATGTGTGTAAACCAACTAGTTTTAATCCTACTAACTTAATCACAAAGACGAACACATGAAAGCCAGTGTACCTATCGATTAGTAGTTTAGTTCAGGTAAGTAGGGTATCGAACACAGGGAACGGTAAATAATTAAAATAAATGCTAATACTATCTAAATACAACAAGTAATAAAAAGGGGGTTTCTCTAGTTTTGCAAGACTAGAAACTTACCAACTAATACTTAGACTACTTAACTAAAAACTAGATAAGCAAGGATTCAACTAAATTCAATAACGAAGGGAACTTTTGTTTAGTTCAACTCAATTGATCCTATGGTTGATATTATGGTAATAGTGCAATGGATTAATTCTTCTATTGGCAACCGATTCAAGTGATTAGATTCACGTTCGCTGCACTAATCCTTATAGAACAAACTAACTCAAACAGTGACCAATTGTCTAATTTAATTCAATTCACTAGGTTATTTATTCGGGTTAATTTGGACTTGTAATGGTTAATTAATTTGTTCCTTTAGTTAACCTCTTGTTGATGGTCATCACACAAGCTCACACGTGAATTTACCTATTTTTCTTATTAATTCTAGTTTCATGTTCATTAATCCTAGACATATGATAAAGTGGTCACATAAACATATGAGGTTAACAACTAAGAGATGTTCATGCAGCTCAATTATCTTCCTACTAACAGAAAAATAGTTATCATTCATACATAAGGTTCTTTAACAAGCTAAAATCAACAAAATCACCAATATTAAATCAATCCTACCATAAAATAACACCATAATCACAAATTCATCTTTCCTAAATAGAAGTTATGAGTTTTTAGCTCATATCTAAAACAAATAACAAACTCAAAACATGATCAAATGATTGAAACATGGTTTATGCAAAAGATTAAGATAAAAGTAATGTGTTATTGCCTTTGATCTTCTTCCAAATTGATATCTAGGTTGAAATCTTGAAAACCACAGCTTCTAAGAACCCTTCTGGCCTCCAAAAATCGTCCTAAACTTCCCCCATTCATTAGGGTTCGAATGAGAAGCGTTTCTGTATATATTTTATGAAAACAGGGGCTACTCGGTGAGTCCAGTGACCTACTCGGCGAGTCTATCACTTAAAATCCCGTGTACGACAAGGCAAAGTCAAGAATCGCAAAACTTCTGACCAACTCGCCGAGTTGATGTCCTACTCGGCGAGTACATTTGGAATCAGCATTTTTCAAAACACGAAAGTCGTCCGAAATTATATCTAGTTTTTAGAACATTTTGAATCTCGTCAATCGGAGTTACGGTTCATGAGATATGTCCAAAACACTGACGAGGGGTCAAGCTGTCCGGCTACACCCTTCTTTTTTCAAAATCCAAGATCCAAGCTTCCTATCGCTATTTCTGCTTCCTTTTCCATTCGAGCATGTAATTGTTGCTAGAAAATGAAATTATAAACTAATTAAGCACCTTTTGTTCATTAAATGAGATAAAATCAACATAAAGTATTAAGATAATGCATGAATTTTATAACTAAATATGCCCATATCATAGAACATTCTGAGAGGTGGAAAAAGCTGCAGTTGAGCTCTTAAAGTTTGTTGAACTCAAGAAAAAAGATGGAGGTTGTGCTATTATTGGATTTGACATTGAATGGAGACCATATTTCAAGAAAGGTTCCTATAATCCCATCAGAACTTAATATCCTTATTATAACTTTTCACATATTTTACTTATTGAATCATGAAGGTGTAAAATAAGGGAAGGATACAGTTCTATAGATATGTGCATATGCTGCAAGTTGTCATGTAATGCATATTATTCATGTTGGATCCCCTGAAAGTTTAAAGTCTATTCTTGGGGATTCCAAATCTATGAAGGTATGCTAATGTTGTAAATTTTAAACGCTTGTTTTTTAATCTAATTAAAATTTTATGAACAGGCTAGAGTGGGAACTGCTGGTGATGCTCGTAAGGTTTTCAATGATCATAATGTGTGGGTAATTCTACCAGAATTGAATCTTGAATTCCAATTATGTGAAATGGAATCTCGAATTCTGATTCTATCAGAATGGAATCTCGATATTTCCTATATGGTTTGTGCATTTTCCACAATTCTTGGTTATGATTTTTGGTGCAATTCACAAGTCTACATATTTGTATAAAGGACTTTAGTTTTTTTTTCATTTAGTAATGAATTATTCTTTCACTTGAAGAAGGAATCAAGGATTGAACATACAAGAGAAGGACTTGGAATCAAGTTCAATAACAAGTTACATTGAAGAAGATTTAGTATAAACAAGTCCATTATTTGGACCATTGAAGAAGATGAAGTGTATTTGTTCAATAATTGTATAATTGAGAATGCTATTCTGAAGAATTTTATTCATTTTAATGACATTCTGTTAGAATATGCAATTATATTAAAGTGTATTAGTCTGTAATAATATTTATGAATTTGTATTTTATGTTCAGATGTGTATGGATATATTAGAATGTTGTTATTATTTAATTTCAGGTTAAAAGATTTTACTATTCCTTATTAATATTCTATCAGAATAACATCCTAACAAAACAATATCTTAGAACGTCATTCTAATAGAATAATATTCTGACATAATTAAAATTGAATTAACATAAAAAATCATAATTAAAAATTAAGATAATCAAATATCCTCAAAAATCCGAAAATTTCCTTTTTAAATTTGTGTTTCCTAATTTGAAAGTAATGGAAATGAAATAAAATGATTTGTCCATAATTATCTCTACATCCACAAATTAATTAGTTAGAATACAATAACCTGAGCCTATATTATATATAAACAATTATAATTATAAGTAGGGTGTTTAAACAATTTAAAGTTACAGGGTTTAAACATAGTAATTCTCATTAACTTTTAATACATTAATTTTAAACCAATTTTATATATATATATATATATATATATATATATATATATATATATATATATATATATATATATATATATATATATAGGATAGTTTTAAACAATTTAAAATTACAATGTTTAAACATATTAATTCAAATTAGGGTTTACATGTATATTTACCAATAATTGTCTATTAAACAAATTTAAGAATTATCTATATATACCCATATCACAATCGAATCATATTTTAAATTTCATCTTTTAATTAAATTTGAACTTACCAAATATGACTAATCCCTTTGATTTTTGAATCTTTCAAATCCGGATTAGTTAGGAAACTAAATTAGATATAACTTTGAATGCTCAACAAGTTTTTTAAAACTCCAAAAAAAACCCTTGAATTTTCGAAAACCATAAGTCTCCATTAAAAATTCTTGGAGTTCTTAGTGTTGCTAAAAATTCTTGGAGTTCTTGGTGTTGTTGGAAACCTTTAAATTTAAGCATTTAATCTTTAAGAATTTCAAAATCTAGTGACTAATGACAATGATACGACTGAAAGGTTTTACTAATCATAACAGTAGAATAAATATTAGGCAACAGAGGCAATTAAAATTTACTCTAAGGCAAGTTAGGATGTAAACCCTACAATCAATACTAATCTAATAATATGAATAACAAAGATAGTCAAGAAATACCAACCTTATAGAAAAATCGTATTTGCTAACTTTAAGATCATTTGGGTCGATTTCTTGATGCTTGAGAAAGGTTGAGCACCTGAAGTAGAATGTGTCTAAATTGCCACACACAAGAGACTGAATTCTAGAACTTGAACCTTCAAGAAGATAGAAAAGAATTATCAAACTCAAATGCATAGATGAAAGGAACAAGGGAATTAAAGCATAAGGTTGGGAGGGTCTATTTACAGTTGAAAGAAAACTTGTGGAAAAGGAACACGAAAAACGTATTTACCAAAATTAAATCCTTATTTAAGTTAAATTCAAGTATCTTAAATATTCTTAGCCAAATTTTGAAATCACTAAGGATAAATCTCTACCTGATTTCATCTACTCCTATAGGGTCCCATAATGTTCGAGTTATTCAACTATTGAATAATAACAAACTCATTTTTATATTTTTAATTAATATCAAATTAATTGTAACTAATCCCAATTAATTCCAAATCACCAAACCTATTTTGTAATTAATTTAACAAGTTATGAGAAATTAATAAACTCTCTCTCTCTCTCTGTCTCTCTCTCTTAGATTATTTCAAACTCTTTTAGCTCATGAGGGTAATTCTAGAAAGACTTTGTTATTATTCCTAAAGTTATACCAAATAATTATGACAACGGACACCTATTTCCACCATCCATACCCAGAACACTAATTCCCTCAGTGGTATAGGAATAAAATTCACATGAGAAATTTCACATCGAACATTTGTATCACACATTCTTTAAATATGATTGACACATTTATTATCCTATCGTCTTCTATTTCCACCACTAGTGGTTGTTCAAACATTTTCAGCATAAGATTAAAATTCTTATCGAAAGAAAGAGACACAAAAGAGCATATTTCCCCTAAATGAAACAATACTAACATTGATACTAAGTTAACAAGAAAAGTACATGGTCATATATATATATATATATATATATATATATATATATATATATATATATATATGTGGGAAAAGTGAATATACCCTTATGGGTATATAAGCTTATGTACCTAAACTCACCATAATATGTCGTTTTGTTTGATATATTCATTATAATGTTCTTAAAATTTAATCCTTAACTTGATTTACTTTCAAGATTTTCAAATTTTCAATATTATCTTCCTCTTACATCACATCTTTTTTATGAACACCTACTAAGCCATATATATTATAGTTGAAAAAGAAAATTATGTAAGAGAGAGATAAATGTGAATTTTATAAAAGTCTTTGAAGTAAATCAAGTTAGAAGTTGAATTATAAGAACATTAGACAATTACCATGTATATAAATGATACAAAACGACGTAGTATGAGTTTGGGTACCTAGACTTATATATCCTTAAGGGTATATTCACTTTTCTCTCTCTCTCTCTCTCTCTCTCTATATATATATATATATATATATATATATATATATATACACACTTGACTTTTTCATGAGCTAAAAAGGCCTTCCTTTGGGTCTTCGGGACCTCAACATCCTTATTTAATCCCTCATAAGTGATTACTAGAGTCATGGGAGTAGGAGAATGAACTACCTCGCTAACCATCTTGGGGTAGTCCGACTTTAAATGCACATACATGTGGCAATTAAAACACAAGTTCATTATTTCCTTTAAATTTTTGCTCATATGTCCCGCCCTTCCACACTTAAAACATCCTCATGTCGTCAATAGGCACCCCCCATAGTGATTTCTACCTCATTGGTTACGCTTGATATAACTCTTCTTGCCCTCATTTTCGGCTCCGGATGGCTTGGATATATTGGCTGGTGCATTTTGTTGTAGAGTCTTAGTTTGTTTCGTCTTTTTGATCGAAGTCCAACTTTAGCTCCCTAATATCGGCTACATTCATCACCTTATTGGGGGTCTTGTACCTAGCCGTGACAACAAACTCTATAATATTAGCTCTGAGCATGTTGATGTAAATATGATATTTGAATTGACATTTTATGCATTAACTTGTCGTTAAATAAACACTTATTTGGTTTACTGAATTGTATTTAATTTTAAATTTGTAATGTCAACTCACTAATTAATTCATTTTAATAAATATTAAATATTATATTTCATATTATAATATTTATAATTATTTCTTTTTCAACAACTATTGATATTTCTTTTTGAAATGTTTAATTCAAATATGATACTTGCTTTAGAAAAACAACAAGCTAATAATACTGATTTGTAAAACATTTAAATAAATAAAGAATAAATTATCTAAATTGTTAGAATTTTGATTAAGAAAAGATTAACGATTGAAAAATATATTCCATCCACTACAAGAAAAAAAGACTATTTGCGGCGAAAAAAGTTGCCGATACAGATTAGCGAAGTTGCTGATAATGGTAATAGCGACAACATGTTGCTGGTATAAAGTCGACGCTACTGCTCTGCCGTTGTTGATCAAAATGTCGCCGATAAAGAGAGTTGTTGCCGCTAAAACCCATGTCGCCGGTAATAGTATGCGTTGTCGCTAATGCCCATGTTGCTGGTAATAGTGTCGATGATAATAACATTTTTTTAATCAACGATTTGGATTTAAAAAAACTGATACATTATGACATTAAATACCAAAAAAAATTACATTACATCTGATTAGATATCAAATACTGTTATAATAAAATTCATAACAAAATAGACAACCAAAGTTTTACAATTCTAACAACTACCAAAGTGTGACGATAAGTCTAACATACAGCACACAAATTAATTATTAAGCAAACCACCATCTCCGTTCCCATCATTTCCTCCGTGATTATTACTCGATTGAAAAAAAACCCATAAAACTCCTCCCTACATGCCGGGTTGTTGAGCATTGCCTGAAGATTTTCTAAGTACATAATAAAGAACAACATATATAAATTTATATGTTAAATTATCAAACATAAACAAAAACTACAAAAGTATCTTCCCATTTATTGCACTTAAATACAACATATAGCAAAAGTACATTGCTATTTATTGCACTTGGGACAAAACTACAATTACCAAATCAACATGCATTTTATGATGTCAACTTACATTTATATTTTTTAACTAGAGACATAAAACTAAAGTACATTGTTATTTCCTGCACTTTGGACAAAAACCCAATTAATAAAGCTTTTAGCATATAGTCACCACAAACCAAAATTACCAAATCAACATGCATTTTATGATGCCAAAGTATATCGCTATTTTTAAACACGATACAAAAAAACAAAGTACATTGCTATTTCTTACACTTGGGACAAAAGCACAATTAACAAAACTTTTAGCAAATAATCCCCACAAACCAAAATTACCAAATCAACATGCATTTTATGATGCCAAAGTATATTGCTCTTTTTAAACTACAGACAAAAAACCAAAGTGCATTGCTATTTCTTGCACTTGGAACAAAAGCACAATAAACAAATTAAAATGCATTTATTGATACCAAGTACCAAAGCTTTTACAAAATAATCACCACAAACAAAAATTATCAAATAAATATGCATTTATTGAAATTAAATAATCTTGTTTTACCTGTAATGGATGTGATAACTGTGGTGGTGGTTGCGATGGATG